TGTAAACCTTGCCTGACAGGTTTGGTCAATTTATAATTGACCACAATATGTATGGCAATACCTATTGACCAAACCTGTCAGGCAAGGTTTACAGATACTTTGTTTATTTTTTGAAACGATTATTAACTATATGAAGTTCACTCACCCTGGATAGCACCCATCATATATTAAAATGTATGGTATGGCACTACAGTATAATTATTATTATAATATAATATGATAATATTAAAGTAGAAAGGCCTCTAAAGTTTTGAACACTTGTATTTATATTTGTGCTTAAGTTTATTTGTGGGGTTTTCCCTATTACACATTTAGTAAGCAAGGTTGCAAAGTAAAACGGCCTCTAAATAGTTTTTATTATGTGCGTCTAATATTCTTACGAATATTTAGTAAGCGATATGTAATGGGAAACCCCCATAAATAGACTCAGGCATAAAATATATACAACTGTATAAATACTTTAGAGGTTGTTTTACTTTCCAACCAGTCCAGTTATTATATTATAATATAATTAAATTATAATAAATGTTTCATAAGCTTATCAAAACTTTTAAGGGATACTGTACTTTCAAGGCTTTCCATATAGAACTATATAAATTAATATTAGCCTTTCGATACGATATGTAAAAGTAGTGTATAATCACTGATTATTAATCAGTGTTCGCAGAACAGCCTTAACTAAAATAATTTTAAATTAATTTTACAAATATGTTGCAATACTTAAACCGAAATTACGTACGAATTATACTGTCAAATTATATTTTTATCATATTTTTATTTTTATTTAGTGCCCTACTGAGAATCTACTTTAAAAATAACAAATAACATATTCTGTATATGTTACTGTAATCTTACTATGAACCAGGATCGCTTTGAGATGCATGTATAGGTATAATTAAAAGTAATCAAATTAATTAGATTTTGTTTTACAGTAATTATATTTTGTTTATTGTATAGCTAAATAATACAGTAGTACACGTAGTGGTGTACTGTTTTTCAAGGATTGCTAAACTACTAGAGTACTATGTATAGAAAATGTTTATAGCAAGTTTATCAATAAAATCACTTAAATAATTACTAATAAAAATTGACCCGTTATAACTATGGTATACTGTAAGCAAAATTATTTTGAACCATTTATTTAACATTTAAATTTTATAAATTAATAATTATTTAAATCCTATTTTTAAACTTAAGTATAACTTTGTGTTTGGGTTCTAATGCTAATCCAAAATCTTCCTCCAGAGTCAACACCTCATCATTTGCTGCACTTATTGTGTATTTTTGGAGAAGTGATACGAAATACAGGAATACCTCCACTCGAGCTAACGTCTCGCCAACACAATTGCGTTTACCTATTGGTCAATTAATACCATGATTATTTAAGTATAAATATTTAATTAATTTTTTACTATTATACAATATATCTTACCCACTGAAAATGGTATTAAAGCATCGATTTTAAGCAATTCTTTGCCATCACTTGTGAGGAATCGTTTGGGACTAAATTCTTGCGGTTTATGCCATACTTTGGGATCGTTATGAACGGCCCATATATTGGCCATAACTATAGTGTCTTTAGGTATGAAATGACCCAAAACTGTCGTGTCCTCTAATGTTCTGTTTTATTATTTATATAATAATATTAATTATATTAATATCTATCATAATATACAGCACACTATACCTTCTCCAAGGATTCAATGGTATTGTAGTCTTATATCTCATCACTTCGTTAATGAACGCCTGAGTGAACGGCATATGAAGTCTGTCGGCATAACAGGGACTCCGATCTCTTCCGACCACAGAATCGATCTCTGAGTGAACCCTCTTCTGGTGTTCGCTGTATTTGGCGGACAATAATATCAACCATTCAGTGGTCGTCCGCACAGTCCCGCTGCCGGCCCCGAAAAATAGCTGACAATTTACATTCAATCTCTTCACTAAAATATACAATATTTAATAATTAGTCACAAATATTGCAATCAATGTCTGTATGTATGGACTGACGGGTGAAGTGAGTGTTGGGATCCTTTCGTTGTCTCACTTCCATCTCCGCTAAGTATCCGTCGATATAATCATTGATTTTGTTGTTCATATCAAACGACTTCTGATGTTTAGATATCTCAGAGCTATTAAAGTGTCAAAAAGTTTTATTATTATTGTTTAAACCGAAATTAAATGCTTATAAGCATGATTTATATAAACTAAATTACTCACTCATAAATTCCCATTATAGTAGCAAACACCTTTTGATTAATGGCACCACCTAGCATAAAAAACAATTTACTGAACCATACGGGGGACGTCGCCATGACTCCAATAAATGAGAAATTCTGTGTTTGGTCTAAGAATTTGTCGAATATCTGTCTCTTGGGTTCATTGAAGTCCATTCGGTGGCCAAACACCAGATGACTGACAATGTTTGACATACTCGGCACTAGGACTTCATGGATATCCATGGGTTCACCCTTAGTCTCATCAATACGTTTCGTAAGATAACTGATCTCATCGGTGATCCTATCCTCCATCGAGCCCTTCCCGAAGCCTAAGTCTCTGAGCACCTGTAGGGCAGACCTACGTTGGTCTCTCCATACAATCCCATTCTCGTCAATAATACCTATTTATAATTGATGTATTATTAAGAATTGTGTTATACTTTGATTTAAATTAATTATTTGTAATCATTATACTTTTAGTTCCCGTCACCGCAGCAAATGGATGTTCAATGGGTTTGCCTAAAAAGGCGTCCTTTTGAAAGGCATCCCTCACGGCCTCCCAATCGTTAAGTACGACCAC